TTGTCATCTATGGAAAGTACGTTTTTATATATTTAAATTTTGTTGACATTGAAGATATGAATTAAATAAAAGTATAATGTAATTACCCAAAATAAAGTGTTCAGAACAGACTTTGTAATGCCTTTTGCTTGAATCTGGGTTGAAATTAGCACGGCTAATACGTAAAAGCCTAAGCATCCTTCTTTCTGTCGAAATGTCCCCTGTTAGCTTCCCTCGCTGTCAGAACGCTTTAGGTCAAAAAACTTCATCTTGCGATGTCAATTCCCAGATTGGTTGGTAGAACCCCACACAACATAGGTATTTACCATTATCGGTGTTATTTTGTGTATTTAATATCTATCTATACGCTCTGTTGCCCCACAAGATGGCGGACTACGGAACTATTGCTAGTAACGCGATGTCATCGAAAAACTGTCTATTTTGATTTCCATGTTTCTTACAGAGCAAATTGTTCACTGTGACAACAACCGCGGCTTGGTGACTCACAGAGGACAAATTGTTTTAATAAGTGAAATATTATTTTTTTTTCAGTTATCAGTAAAAAGCAGAAAAGGCAGTGAATAATTGTTTGTCACTAACAGGCTCTGCTGTTTTCTCCCCTGAGAGCAAACATGTTTCTTTAGAAGTGACGTCATGGCCTCAACTATGGCACTGCAGTGAGGGGGAGGAGTTCAAAAGCCTGGTTTTACTGATGGATGAGTGCGACAGTAAAAGGTGGAGGCGAGGCAAAGATGTCGGGTTGAAGCAGAGGTGGAGGAGGAGGTTGACGTTGACGGGGCTTTTTTCTTCTTCCTGTTTCCATCTGGAGGAAAAAGCAGGAAGAGGCAGAAAGCCCCGAGCTGTGACTTTGAAGTGGAGTCTGATTAGGAAGTTAATTAAAGGGAAAACCTGCAGATACCAGAGAAAAGGACATGTGGGAGGCATTAAGGGGGAAAGCAGCAGCAGATACAGGGGACATGTGGGAGGCATTAAGGGGGAAAACAGCAGCAGCAGATACAGAAATATGGAAATTATATTGACAGTTCGCACGTTTCCTCAGTGTCAAAGTCGGGTTTGTATGATTGACAGGAGACGAGACACGAAAGACGGCGGTGGAGGAAAACGGAAAAAAAGAAAAGAAATTCAGAAAAACCCTCTGACAAATGTGGACAGTTTGTGTCCTGCTGCAAGCTGTGGCATTAACTAAAGAAAAGCCATGCCGTTAGCTAAAGAAAAGTTGTGCCGTTAGCTAAAGAAAAGCTGTGCTGTTAGCAAAAAAAAAGATGTCACTGCCCAATTTGCAGTGTTGCCTTTTGCGCACTGGTTTCCATCTTGGACAGCGATAAACGGCAACTCCACCAGGTCAGCTTCAGTTCAACAACATTAGTCACTGCCTGATTTGCAGTAAATGTGTTGTAAAATAAAAAGTGTATGTGCAGTCGATTGTTTTTTTTTTATATGGTTTTCTATGCTTTGTTTGGTGTTTATTTAATGTTTTATTTAATTTTTAATATATGTTAAAATGACCATTTCTCTGTGAGAATATGAAAGATTCATCTTTGTAAATCTCATATGTTCTTATGGAGCTGGAACAGTCTCCAAATACACAAACAAGGATTCACAAATGTATTCTAAAAATTCACAAATGCATTTGGAATATTTACACATTTACAATATTGCCGCTTCTAGACGCCATTTCTGTTATGGCAGATGGATCTGTGGCACGGTGAAGTGACGTCACAAGGCCCCTCATGGGGATACAGTGGTGTGATTGGCTGCAAACGAACTAGACATCTGATTGGCTGCTGACGGGCCCCATGTAGAAAGAAATGCATTTGTGTATCAGGTAACCGCTAGACGAGTCTCAAAAATCACACAAATAAATGCAGGGAGATTGGTTGGTAGGTTGATTGGTAGGTAGCTAGGTTGATAGGTAGGTTGATTGATAGGTAGGTAAGCAGGTAGGTTGATTGGTAGGTAGGCAGGTTGATTGGTAGGTAGGTTGATTGGTAGGTAGGTAGACAGGTTGATTGATAGGTAGGTAAGCAGGTAG